ACAAGTCCTGGCTGAGACCTCTGCTCCTGCTTTCCCTTCTCTGTCACCAGGGAGGAGGCCTGAGCTGTAGGGCTGTGGGAGGAGGGAGGGTTGGGAGGGAAGGGGCGTCTGTGAGTAAACTGATTTGGGGACACGAGCTGTGGAGCTAGTGCCCATCTGTAGGGTTGTTTGGGGCTTAGCTGTGATAGGATTCACCGATATTCTAGAAGGACCATGCTGACATTCAGATCAGGAAGAGGGATAGAGAAGATCATTAAGAAACAAGTGCCCAGTCCAGTTGGCTTACGGATGAAGGAGAAAAAACAGGCTCCCGGTTCAGAATTTTGTGTCCTTCCCTCTCCAGACATCAGAAATACACAGGGGCTGATTCTAGCTCACGTGTGGCTGGTGGGGAAGGGTTGGAAGCCAGCAGCAGGCAGGACGGAGGAAATGTCCCCATCCCCTGTGAGTGAAGGAGGTCGCTGCCAACAGTTAGTCTACGCTGGGCTGAGTGCGGACCCCATGGAAAAACGCTTTAGCCCCTGCCAGTGCTACTTCCGGGGTGGTTCAATGTGTGCTTGTCCCCAGAACTACCTCATGTAGCCAGGGCAGAACTGTTGATGGTGACTGGAGCGTTCTGTGGTGCAGGGATGGGAGGGAGGAGGAGGACGAGACCAGATGGGAATGCTTTTGCTCAGGTGAACGGTTTCAACCTGGGCCCATTGTGGACGGCTGACTTGAGCAACCACTGGCAGTTTCTGGCCTGGCTCTGCCCCCTTTCCATTCAATGCCAAGGCTTTCATAAGGGACCTTGGCCTCCAGAGGCCGCCTTGCAGGCGGGAGGAGGGAAAGGAAATCCTTACCAGGAAGAAGTGAAGCACAATCATCCATCCCCAACCTCCATCCAGGGCCTGGGTGTAGGGGACATTCAGATCAGGAAGAGGGATAGAGAAGATCATTAAGAAACAAGTGCCCAGTCCAGTTGGCTTACGGATGAAGGAGAAAAAACAGGCTCCCGGTTCAGAATTTTGTGTCCTTCCCTCTCCAGACATCAGAAATACACAGGCTCTGCCCCCTTTCCATTCAAATGCCAAGGCTTTCATAAGGGACCTCGGCCTCCAGAGGCCGCCTTGCAGGCGGGAGGAGGGAAAGGAAATCCTTACCAGGAAGAAGTGAAGCACAATCATCCATCCCCAACCTCCATCCAGGGCCTGGGTGTAGGGTGGGGCCTTCCTTGCCCTCAGCATGGCGCAGGTCCCTGGGACAAACCCAAGACGGAGTTGATTGAGTTGACAAGAAACAGATCTAAACTTTTACACTTCACTTTTCACTGCGGTATAAAACCACTTGTACTGTAATTTTTTTTTTAGTCCAACTCTAAAAATAGATGATTTCCTCTTGTTTCTAAAGTTGTTTATAGACTAATTTTAACCTCCAAAACGCAAGCAGGACTTTGTACATCTTTGGGACTGTCCTGCAGGCTGCTTCCTGGCTTCCGCTGGCCGCTCACAGGGCTTGACATCTCCTGAAGCATGTCCTAGTCACGTGTAAAGGCTGCCTGGTCCCTGTTTTTTCTATAATCACAATCCAGGCAGAATCATGGGAGAAGGAAGAGAAGCTAATGATAGGCTGTGATTTGAGGGATTTCGAAGCCACTGAAGAGAAATCTCTTGTCACCAGTTTGGCACTAAGTTGACCACTCAGTTTATTTCAGGCAGGAATTTCAAAGGAGTTAACTGCAAAGCTCGACCTTACTGATTGTGGGTGGCGGCTCCGAGCACTGTCCTCGGTGTCCTCCCCCCAGGTCTGCACACCAGATCCCAGGGGAAGCTGTGCACCGCCCTCTGGTCCCCTGGGTGAGCTTTTGACTTTAGAGAAATTAAAAAAAAAAGGGGGGGGGTTGCCTTGGGTTAGGAATTCCATTTACAAAGCCCTCGCTAAAATGAGAATATTCTAATGGGCTAATCAGGGTTGCGGAACCTTTGTAAAACTGCCGTACGCCATTTGGATATTTATAACATCATTTGCAGGCACAAAAATATCAGCTTAAAAATTAGCCTGCTGTATTTGGTCAAACTCACCCCTAATGCCTTGGCAAGACCAGATGTTCCCCACCCCCGGGCCAAATAGACATGACAGCGAAATGCAATGACTGTTCCTTGAGTGGACCCTGGACCAGGAAAAGCGAAGAGCTTTGGGAGGTCAGTTGGAGGAGTTTGAATGTGGACTGTGAGCAAAGTTGTGCCTCTTGGGTGTGATGGTGGTCTTGTGGTTCTGCAGGAGAACATGCTGGAAAGCATCCAGGAGTGCAAGTGTCGTAATTGCTACCTCCTCACAAATGAGCATTGCTATTCGAGCCCAGGAAATGGACCTCCCAACCCTGGAGAGGGTGTGTCTTCTGTAAAATAAGCAAGTCCTGAGGACCCTGGAAGGAAAGGCAGGGGCACAGCTCTGAGTCCTGGGGAAGGGATCCAGCATGCTTCATTTCCCACTGTCAGGTCAGCAGGCAGACTGTCTCTTACTGGAAGGAGAACCCACGGCCGGGCATGCGCAATGGCCGTGTGGTGAGCAGCTGGGCTGGGGGAGAAGCCTGTGGGTCATTCAAAACATTATAGGAAACCAACCCCAATGCACAATCCTATTTTCGTCTTACCTTTGACGTGGTGTTCAGCAAAGGAATCCTTCACAGATGAGACACTCCGGGGAGAGAAATAAACTAGTTTTCTAGACTATTACTGTTTTTCCGAGGGAGTTCATAACGTTGTGCTGTGAGAACAAGTGAGCATGTAAGACTGAGGACCTCAGGGCCGATGTGGGCTCCCGGCCAGTGGACTTTACCTCGTGAGGAGCAGAGGCAGATTTGACACCACCCATCCTGGCTAGAGTTTGCCCGTAGGCGCAACAGCAAGCATCGGAGTAAACCAAGTGGAAAATCCTCTCAGTAACTACCGTTGAATCAGTTAAACAAGGAGGTGGCTCTGGTGCTGCGGTGGCTACATAAGCAAACCCAAGTCAAGGCCTGTAAACCCCTCAAGGTGAAGAAATGAAAACCCAAGGACAGCCAGTCACCAACAGCCAATCAGGCCTTACGTGACAGCCAGTCATTTCCTTGCTTGGCTTTTGCCTTTTCTCTACAAGTCTCTCCCCAAGCTGCTGTTTGTGGAGCACTCTTACCTACTTCAGGTTTGGTGCTGCCTGATTCAAATAGATTTTTGCTCAAATTCTTTCTATTTTAATGTGCCTCAGCTTCCTGTCTAACACTATACTCAAGGCAAAGAATGAGGCCCCAGGACTCAAGAGCTGTGCCCCCGCCTTTCCTTCCAGGGTCCTCAGGACTTGCTTATTTTACAGAAGACACACCCTCTCCAGGGTTGGGAGGTCCATTTCCTGGGCTCAAATGGCAGTGCTCAGTTCAGCCCATGTGTGTGACCTTACTAGCACATGAATTGACTAAGTCTGGGCTGTAACATAGGGTTCCAGACACCATTTTAATTGCTGTTTTTCATACTTGATTGCCTTACCACCAGACACCTCCCAGAGAAGGTGTATACTTGGATTTTAATGAAACTTTTCTTCTTGCATTTTGGAAATGGTTAAGGCTGAGTCTCCTAGAAAATTACGGGGATGATTCAGCTTTCTTATCCCATTTCCTTTCTGTTCCACCCTCCACCTCAAAACACACACACCAGTCAACAGGAAATTGCCTTTCATCTCCCCAGCACCCACATCCCAGGTTTCAAACCAGAATGCATGTTAGGCTAACCTGCGTTTTTCTTGATTTAGTTGGAAAGTCTGCACATATTTATGCATGTTCCTTTTTAAAAAGTAAGTGGCTTCTCAGGCTCTTAAAACCAAACTAATACTTAGAGATGAACATGCTAGCAGAATCCCAGCCAAGTGGTTTGGGAAACGCTTTATGAGTAGCGATAGGATGATAGTTACGTGATGCTGGTGCTAAGGACCGAATGACCCTCCAGCAGAAGGCAAAACCCCCAGAGAGAAGGTGAGTACTATTCAGTGTTGTCGTTACGAAATACTCGGAAAGCATTGTCTAGTAAACACCTGTAGGACTGGTTTTGGTGGAGTGTGTCGCTTTTAGCAGGGCGATCTGTGATTCTGGTCGCAGGATGAGACGAGGCCAGGCTTCACGTTGACGGAGAGCTCTGATGGAGGCAGAGGCCGGGGCAGATTCGCAGTGTGGCAGCGGCATCGGGCTGGGAGGGCTGCAGAGGCCTCAGAGATGAACTGGCACTGCTTTCATCGAGGAGCTTTGGGGTGCAGTGGGAAATGCTCACTTGGTTAGAATCTCAACTTTGCCATCTTTTAAGCCTGCAGACTCTCGGCCAGTTATCCTCTCTGAATATGTTTCCGTAGAATGTTAATATTATTTTACAAGTTTGTTGTGAGGAATATATATATGACTGCACATTATTAGACCCACTATTGATACTTAGTTCACTAAAAATGGTTCTTATTAATCAGTTGGGGCCTAATATCAAGAACAAAGACTCCTTAGCCACCATTGGGATATTAGCATTTTGGTGTCTGTACCCAGTTGACTTAATAAAACTTCTATAATCTAAACATAAATAAGTTCATTAACCTCCAACCTTCTGACTCTTGGCCCGAAAGCTATTCAACAAGAATTGCAGCTTGATATCTCCTAAGTCACTATTACCCTCACTCCACTGAGTATGTGGTGAAGACTAGACACGAATATCCCTACTTTCCAATGAATGAGAATTAAATGAGTTCCTGGCATATAGTAAGTGCTTAATGATATTAGCCATTATATTTTTATTATGGGGTAGGGATATGCTTGATTTAATACCCATGGATACTTCTGTGAGGATATATGTATTTGAGGAAGCTTCTGAAAGAGAAGAGAATAATTTGGAACAAAGGCCTCTGAAACAATTTTCAGTTTGGTAATTGAAAAAATGAACATTTGATAAGAGTTAGGGCAAGGTCGGGCGTGTTCAGACTGATAAGAGTTTAAAGAATCCAGAAAAGATCCAAGCTTTCCTCCAACCAGATTTATTGAACACAACAGAATTCTATATACAAAGTCACCCAGACCTGCTGCTGCAAAACAAGATCCTTTCTTACTAATATTTTGGTAAGTCAGTCCACAGAGTGTCCAAAAGCAACTTAGCCTAAATTAATACAAAAGTGCCCAAAGCTCACTGGATGACAGGCCTAACCACCGAAACTAACAGTGTAAGGCAAGGAGCAGACGCGCTCCGGGAGAACCTGGGCGCCATCAGGAGGCCATCTTGTGCACAGCCACTGTGATGCCGTCGTGTTTCTGGATCATAATGTTCCTGGAAGGCAAAGCGGAAGACCTTCAGTAAAACGTTGCATGTGGGAGGCAGTATGACGTTAATGGTTTAGGACACAATGAAAATGCCATTTTTCTACATGTATATATAAGCAATATATGAACACAGGAAAACATTTGGGAAATACAGAAAAGTATTAACTATAAAAATGAAATGACACATCTCCCTAGCACTGAGAGACAACCACTGTACTATTTTCCTGGTTTTATCTGCAGGTGTACTGTCACACACTTTCTCTTTACGAGCTGTGATGATATCGCGTAGTTTGTCTTCTGTTCGTGTCCGTCATTCTGAGGACACTCACTTGGAAGATCTTTAGTACTTCCATATTACAGAAGCAGTTTCTGTTCTTTGATTGGTCTTCCTATTTTTACTTTGCCCTTTGAATGAAGAACCACCAAGGAACACAGGGCAGGCCCCTGTCATTCTAAAAATCTTCCTAAATAAAAAGGAAAGGAAGGGACCTGCTGCCTTCGACTCACCCGTTATCTGACTCTAGACACACCACAGGAGTATCAGTGGGGTCTGAGGTTAGCTTAGCCGCTTGCTGGGCTAGAACAGATATCACCCCGGCGTGCTCATCTGACAGGGTCCCACGGCCTGGAAGACACAGATGATAGAATGTTGCCCAACTCTTAAAAATGAGCTTAGAGCTATAGTAGTACCTCATGAATTATTCATGAGAGTTCAGTTCATGGGCTCTTAGGTTACTGACATGAAATGATTTTGCTCTGCTGTACTCGGCTGGTTGCCTCAGTGAGAAAGCCACACACCAGTTCCTCAATCAATAAAGCCATAACAGACACTCAATTTTCAAAGTCATTCCCATCACCATCTTTAAACACCATCTCAAACATATAAGGAAGCTGTAATTTCAAGTCGCTCTGAAAGTCATAAATCCATTTCACAGGAACCTTGCTGAAATCAACAAGAAGTTCGGAGGTGAGATCGACAGCAGTACAGACAAGAGACCTGTTGAAACTTGAATTCCTCATAGGAAATTGATTTCCTTTACTGAGCTTCACCTCAAAGGGTATGAAAGTTTTCTCGGGAGCTCAGCTGTAAGTCCACCTTGACAGCATATGTGGACATTCTGTGAGCAATTCACCCCGTTAGAATAAGCCGGCTGTTTTCCAATACCAACAGAATTGGCTTTTGTTTTGGCCTGTAGATAATAACTAAACCTTGGGTGGCAGGCACAAAAAGTAATTACTAATTTACAATATATTTGCATACATAAGGGCAATGCAAGCCTATCTGCTAAATCGGGTAACAGACATGCTACTGTAGCAGATTTGTTGGGTTGACTATTATTATACAGAACATTAACTGCACAGACAGTGCAGTCTTTTGGGCCTTGAAGGCTTGTTTAAGGAACTAATTTAGTTTTATATTTCCTTGAATTTCCATTAGTGAGCTGGCAAGTGTCCCCACCCTCTTAGTTACTTACTTCTTCATCTATAATTGTTATCATTTATTGAGCATTATGTCTGGGTTATGTGTTGTGATTTACACATATAATCTTATAGTATTGTGATTGAGACTTTGGAGCCAGACTCAAATCCCAGCTAGACCACTTAATTCTTTAATCCTCACCCAAGGATATGCTTTTATTGATTTTGGATGGAGAGGAAAAGAATCATCGATGTAAGAAACACTGATTGGTTGCCTCCCAAAAGTGCTCCAACTCGGGGTCAAACCCCCAACTTTCAGTGCACAGGGCAATGCTCCCACCAACTGAGCCACACGGGCCAGGGCAACCACTTAATTTCTTTATCTACCTCATGTTTTGAGGATTAAATGACTTAGTATATGTAGAATACTTAGAACGGTGCCTGGCACACAGTAAAAGCTCAATAAATGTAATTCGATAATAATAATTATTAAACAAAAAATAATAATAATTAGTAAACAACCCAGTAAAGAAACAGGCTCGGAAAGGTTCTTTTTGGTCCAAGCAAACAGAAGAGCAGGCGGTTGAACCCAGGTGTGTCCAACTCTGACGCCTCATTTTTACTGCCGCCTCACTGTTAAGTGCAGACTAAAAATAGCATCTTGCAGGAATAATGTGAGAATGAGAAGATCAGTATACGAAGCCTCGCAGTCCAAGCAGACGGCACACATTCAATGTTACCTGAAGGCTTTCCTCAACCCACTTTTTAAAATGGGTCAAATACTATTTCAGCAGAAATGACTGTAGTGCAGGAATGTTTCTACCTTCACAAGCACCAAGTGAAAAGTTCAATCTTCTACTCTCGTTATCGGTAGATAATCTGCTTACAGAAGTGGCTGGAAAGTGGCAGGGTAATGCACACTGACTCCCAGTCAACCTCAAATGCTGTGCAACCACCAAAGGGTTGCGGGAGGTACTTACAGCCCAGGTTAAGTCCTTGTGAGTCTGTGCACAGGACTCCAACAATGGATGGATTCTTCATTCTATTTCCAGGGACACGTGAGAAAAGGAACTTAAAACATTACAACACACACAGGGATTCTACTACCAGGCAGGCACTGTATCACGTGCTTTAAATGAGTGTTTCTCAACTTTTATCACCCCCCTCCCCACCACGAGAGAAGGAAAAAACTAAATAGGTGAGTCTCTCTCTGATGACAGAAAAGAGCGTGTCCAGGCGCTTAGGCGGGCCACAGACATTCCAGGACCTAGGACTGTGTCCCTCGTTAAAAACGCAGCTTTCGTGTAACGCGGGTGCCTCCTGGGGGAGGGGGCAGCTGGGGAGCGAAGGGGCATCCGTGCGACGGAGGTGCTGCCCCGTCCACTTCCTTCGGATTCTACGTAGATATTCCTCGTTGAAAAACTGAAGGGATGTGTTTCATTTTAATCGCCAAGTAACTGGTTACACACGGAAGGAGGAGGGTGTGTGTATGTGTGTGTTTACACTGCAGGATTAGTCTACACGGTGGCACGTCCTTCCCCCAAATTAACCCAGTTCCTGAAACTCGCGAGGGCGGCCCCTGTCCAGACAATGCCAGCAGGACGAGCGGTTCAGGGCTCGGGCCGCGGAGCAACGTTCGGGAGAGTGCGGGGCCCCGCGGGCGGGATTTTGATTCCG